CGACAGCACAATGCAACAAAAACAACAACAGGTGTAGCGTCGGTGCGTGTTTGAGGGAGCTAAGAAAGAAGATAGAGAGAGGGAGAGTAAAGATTTCCGATGCCGCTACTGCCGCTACCGCCGCTGTTGCTGCTGCGAAAATATGGCTCTTGCAATTCCCATATTTCTACGTCTTATTAGGTGGAATTACCTGTACCTTTGCAAATCCCTCCCCCTATCTCTCTGAAAACCGCCTCCTATTCCTCTTCGTTATTTCCATGCCTGCTTTTGTTTCCAGTGCAACTCGCATCTCGACATTAGCTAACGAGGCTGGTTGTTTTGATGTAGCAAGGGGGAAGAATACTCTTGTCTATTGCATCATATTTTCCCAGAAAAATAATTATGGCAAAAATAAACTTTTTTTACACTTTATAAGGAACCTTTTTGATTGCATTAAAAAAGCGTCATGATTCATGAGTCAGGGGTAGTGTGTAATTTGTTTAACGCAAATGGAAAAATTCTCTTGCCAGGAGGGCCTTGCCTGCCGTTTTTAGCATTCTTGGCTGGAAAGGAATGCATTTTTGGCATTTGATGGCTTTTTGATACTTGGTGTAAAAGTAATACCATATAAGACCGTTTGCATGCTATTAAAGTCCAGACGGTCTGAATTAGGTCTGCAACCACCCATAAAACGATTTTGCCTGCGCTGACAGTGGAGAAGGCAAGATGGGAACCTGTTTGGTCGGTTGAGTTGTACCATATACACATTAACCTATTGCAGATCTAATTTTTTAACTCCCAATTGGAAACTCGAGATCGAATGATTTCCCTTTTTGAGGCATCCTTTGACGTGCTTCTCGATGACGAGGCTTCACATCACCTCCCAAGGAAGTGGGGACCTTGCATAAAAAACACCAGCATCCATCCAACTTTTAGGAGGGAAGGAGCTCGAACCATGTCATCTTGGATCGCCGACTGCAGAGCGTGAGAAGCTCCTTCGTTATGAGAAGAGAAGATTTGATGGGATCAGATTCGTTAATGACGTAAAATTACTACGAAGACGATATTTTCGACCATTGATGCCTTAAAATTGATTCCACTTTATTATAAGAATAGAACATAGGTTGATTGCATTGACAAAAAAGAATCTCAACTTTTCAAAAGTGACTTTTGGATGTCATAAAAATCATTTTAAAGTGCTTTGTAAACCACCCTAATTCAGTAGTATTTCCATATCCATTTTCTTGTTTAAATGACCGAAAAATTTAAGTCAAGCGTTGTGGGGACTTTACGTGGTCATGAGTACCGTTGGCGATGATGAAATACTTTAAAAAGTGATTTTAAAAACACAATTTTTTGCCTTTATTTGTTAATTCTTGAGACTAAATGAGCGCACTACTAGCACGACCCCAGATGCTGCCCCTCGTGATTCAGTTAAAATGACAAAGCCGTGAAATTAAAATTACTGCCAAAATAGGGCTGTTTTTTTTTGTTAATCGCCACTCTACTCCCCACCTCTTAATCTCCTTATCTTCCTTCTTCCACTCCTTCGTCTCCCTCCTTGTTGTTTCTACGCCTGGATTAGTCACTACCTGGACTGGTCATGCAAACACCGGAGGGCTGTCACACGTGTCTAGACTGCTATTCTGTCAAGACAGCAAGGCCATACACTTGTCGTTCTTAACGCGCCTAATTCAGTTTTTGCGGCTCTTGAAATCTATTTTTAGCTGCTTTCTGCTACCTAATTGAAAGGATGCTTAGAAAGGTGCAGTTGTTTATGCAGACCACCAGGATGCAAGACATTCTCAAAGCTACCGCATTTTAACTACACGACTGGATTTTACGTTTGATGTCATGGTGACGGCACCAGTGCAACTTCTCATTATCGGGATGGGGATTGAGTCTGCCAAAGTTAATGTTAAAAAGGGCATTTATTTGGATTTCTCTCCACTCTTTTTGCACGCCTTCGTAACAGAAGTCTTGTCAACTACTTCATTATCTCAACGTCACTTGCCACTCGGGTTGGCTTCTAGAGGAGAGTTCAATCAGTCGTTACAACCTGGCAAAGGAGACGTTATGCCCCATATTTTAGAGTTGAGAATGTTTGAGAGTCAAGTTAAACAGGTCGACAATTAACATGGCGACAAACGTGTCGAACGCTGTTGTTCCAGTGCAAACATGATGACGATCCCACCTGCTAATCGTCGACGTAGCGCTTCCCTTCCTACACACAACAAAGCGGCAAAAATGTTCTCCACTTTTTCACCATTTCTCTCGCCTCTGCCTCTCACTCTCCCACCAACCTGCCTTTGGCTCTTTTTTTTTTTAAAAAAAAGTACATCCTACCCTAATCGCACCCACCATCATCAGCATCAAGCGTTCGCACACGCACATACGCGTCCATTAGTGAAGTTATTGTCCCCACTTTTAGTGACGATGTCACACTGGGAACTGGTGAAATGGGGTTTTAAAAATGCGGCATTCAGCTTGATTTCTTCCAGTACTTCAATGCAAGAAACACACTTTTATTCTCAAAATCTGCTTTCACCTAATTTCGATACATTATCCTGAGAAATCACATGAGCTGGATACAATTTCTTGTGGATCAAATGTTCGGTCACGAGGCTTTAGCCACAATAGACTGCATTTGTTAGTTGATAAATTTTTTTCCCCTCTTTCCATCGCTTTGCACCTAATTTCTATGCGCACACACGTACACACGCTCACATAGGAATGCTATTTCTAATCGTCTTCATCGTTGCCCAAAAGTGCTTCTTGTGTCTCATGCTTTCTGCTTGAATTTCTGCGCGTGGATTTATTTATTGTGTGGAACTGGCTGAAGATTTGTGGAACGTTTTTGCACAAAGGGAGAGAAACTTGAGAGTACGTCCTTGTGAGATTCCTTTGGTAGTATAGGAATTGGAAGTTAGTGTCTAAGCATTGAACGAACCTGTAAGAAGCGAAGTTCCTTTGTGTATTTTGTTTTCTCTTCATAGACAGCATAACGCACAAGGTTTCAGCCCGTAAGTCCCAAAAGGCACAGTGCCTATTCCTTGCAGTACTGTCTGGTTGGAGTGATGCGGTCTCCTCTGAGCGTCTGGCTAAGTTGAGGGATGGCGACTGGCTCGTAAATACGTGGCTATTTTGTCCATAATCTCCAAATTTTGCCGGGTTTTCTATTTTTTCTTTCGTATGTTATATCATCGCCCCAGGTGTGCCCTTTTTTCAGGCAGGAATTACTCGTACCTCTAGTGATGGGTGTTTGCCGCAGCTTACAAAACTTACTAAAGGCAAAAAGTTTGTGCCGTTAAAAGAGTCGCATGCGAGGCAGCCGTTAAAGCACTATTAGGGACTGGGAATGTGATCCGAAGTGTTAAAGGGAGTCCACAACGTACTCAGGACTAGCGATTCCTCTATTCCTTTTCAGATGGCATAGCAAATGCAAACCTATTCCGTGTTTCCATCTATTAAAGCACATTGTCTTAACTAAATCCGATTGCCTTTATTAAGCTGAATTCAGCCGGAAATTTTGCAAGGCCTCTAGATCCAGTATGCGTTTGCACTAACGAACATTGAAAGCGTCCAAAGTTCCTCAAAATTCGTTGTCTATAGCTTTGAAGAATAGTAAGAGTCGAGCTTTAAAACGAGATCCTTTCTTGGGCAGAAAGGCTTATAGGAGGGTAGGGTTAGTGCCCTCATGCAAGTCCGACCTTCATTCATTTGTATGAATGGGAGTTTTTGCCTTTATCACATGACAGCAAAGTAAAAGCTCAATTCACACATTATTGAAATAGTAACTTCTCCTCCATGCCACACCAAGGCTACTGCCAATTGCTATGATGTCGATGGCGAAGTGAAGCACAGCAACTGTCGCCTTAAACAAATCATTACCTTAATTTCTGTCTGATACCGATTGTAAGAATTCAATTCAGTTTCTTGAAAAAGCTTTTAAGAGTAAGGCCCTTGATTGACGTACAGTTCGACTAAGTTTAATAGCTCAGATCCGGTCAGTTAAACTCCTTCGGAAAATATGTTGTGGTATGATTCTTTCTAAGTGCAAACTAAGTAAAATATCAGAATTGGCACAAACTTACGATAGAGCTGGCTGCTTTAAACAAGCACTGCGTCTAAACTTGATAGCTATCAAGTGGCAGAAGGAAGTTGACTACTACTGCTAAAAGGCAAACTATTGTTATTACCGTTGGGTTAAAAATGTTTTGAAAATTTTTTTGTTTAAAATGCAAACCTGCTTGTAATGCAGTCAAATGTAACCATTTATCATCAATGCGAACACTGGCAAGGCGCGTGTTAATCCATTGATCACCACTTGTCAAGTAGAAAGCACCTTGACGGGTTTTAACACGTCGACTAATTTCTTACTCTTCACTTCATTGTTCTATCAGCGTTTTCACGCGCAATGCTGACACACGCATACACACGCACACACACACACGAAAACACGTTCGCCTGCCTATTGACGTCGTATCATTTTGCACTTTTTCAGTGCACACTCCCCCCTCCCACCAATCAGCGTGGAGGCTCAAGGTTGCCTACGATTTGTGGCCTGTCAATCGAACAAGAGCCTGTGTGCGCTCCGCATGTGCGTGTGTTTATTGCCATAGTGTAGGTGAACGGAAAAAAGAATAAAAAGGAAAAAAAAAGATATGCGAAAGCAGGCAGCATTATCGCGCTTTTAAGTGTTTGAATAAATATTTATACATCTGGAGATGTAAACACCTATAAACAAGAACTGCGTATACAAGCGTGGGAGGTTTCGACTGAAGCATGTGAGCCTAAATTTTCTTCAAGTAGTCCGGAGTTGTCAGCAATTACTTACCTGAGGTGAGAGAAATGCACAAACTATTGTAATCGCGGGCGTAAACCTGGTGCTCCTCTTTATAACCTTCCTGGAAAGGCACGCCGAAGTCACTCTTAAGGGGAGAGTTGGTGATACTTTTCTGAGTTTCAATGAGGTGGTAAGTCTGTATGACAATCCATGTCCGCCATTCATCCCGAAGACAATGGATTCGCTATCCGAATGCAAAGATAGGGTAACGGACTTCGGTGAATCTGCATTTGTTATTCTGGTAAAAGAAATTTATCTTCACAGTGTCGTCAAAGGCTATGTGATGCTGTACGTGAGGACGGTTTGGTAATTTTACTAGTCCCTGCATGCATGAGGCGTTTCCTCGATGTTTCATCCCATTTTCGGATTAGTTGCCGCTTTAGTACTTCGCGTATCCGTATCAACTCCTTTTAGTATGCGGAGAAACCAGACTTTGTTATTGAAAATACAGAAGTAGTTTGTATAGTTAGCTTTGATTTCATCTTACTTCGTCTTTGATGTTGCCTATACAATAAGAAAATAAAAGAAAGCGTGTGGAATTTGCATGTTTTCCCATTTACAATCCCATTCGTCCCGATGTCCCTGTTGAAGCTTCCTTTCTTTTCAATGGCAAGGATCTCAATTCACCATCAAACTCACGAGTGGTAAAGTAGCATCAAAGCGGATCACAGAATGCGTTTGAGAGTTGTGTAGATTCAGAGGAGGCGTAATCGATAACCTGCAAAAGATTTGGCTTTTTCTCGCCAGTTTTGGCTGAATTGGTGAGGAGCTGGAAGATGTCTGATATCAGTGATAAGGCTTACTTTCCATAGGCGTGATGAAGTGGTTAACATTCAGCATTTGATACCTTTGCTTTAGGTGTGCTTCTCGCGTCAGGACCTATCAACGCATAACTCAACGACACACAAGCAGGACCCGCGGCCCTATCGCTGCGATCAATGCGGACGCCAATTCTCCACTTGCGCCTACCTCTCCCAACATCGTCGCATTCACAGCGGCATCAAGCCCTACGTCTGTCGTTATTGCGACCGCAAATTTACTCAATTGAGTCACGTGCAACAGCATGAAAGGATTCATACCGGCGAGAAGCCTTACAAGTAAGTCATTCCTACTCTCACCCGGTCTCCACTGTAGTGGAATACATTCCGAGGACTTTGAACGTGTGAGCTCATTCGGGCAGAGGTTTGTGTGTTTGGAGCAGCATAACTGCAGTGGCGGTGGCGGCGGCAAAATGGCCTTGAAAAAGCATTAACACTGCCGCATGAGAGTTGCCATGACAGTACGGCATTTCCGTGTGTGTGCCTGTCAAAAGTATCTGCGTATGTATGATGCCTCATTCTCGTTTTCCGTCCTCTCCTCTCCTCTCCCCCTTTCTACTCTTCAGTCGTTAAATGGTTGCAGTAGTGGTGGTAGTGTATGTTCATGCAATCATGCAGCCATCACCACCGCCACCACCACCACTCACTGGTAGCACCATCATGGCTTTGTTGAGACGATGCCTCCGCCCATTAGTAAAACAAAGAAATATGAAAGGCGGTATTATCTAAGTAAAGCTTGTAGCAGTGATCCATGCGATTTTGAGTGGGTTGACGAAACCGATAGGACTTTCTATCATGCCAGCTGCAGCGTCTAAACAACTGCAGGGACCAATGGGTTTGCCGCTCTACGGGCTGCCTTTATATCTTGTTGCCACTCTTTACGTATCACTGCACGATTTCTGAGACCACGTGACTTTTGGGGACCCTCTATGCGCTGTGGTTTTTATGAAAGAACCAAACTGATTCGACACATTATTAACATAATTTTGCCAAATTATTGCAACACTTCCTTCAATCATTTGACCAGCGTTGATGCGGATCTATAGGCTCATATTAGCAAAACGGGGCGGCACCAAAGCATTATTGGTGTTCCTCCGTTTCATCACTGTAGTCGTTGTCTGATGTTAACACTTTCACCGATTACAGTATTGGAATGTTATGCTGACTAGTTTTTGATAACACCGAGAATAGCAATGCTTTAATGTTCTGGATAAAATTATTTTCGATTTAAGTAGATTGGTTCAATGATTGAATTCTCCTATTCATGCTAAACCTGACAGTAATTTTTTGTGGACCAGTCTTTGCTACTTTTGTTGACTTTTTATTTGTTAAAGGCCATCATTATTGAGATCGAAAGACTATCGCTTACGCCTATCTTATATCCGTTAACGGCAACGTAAATGAGCGGACTCACCTTTGCCTATCTCGAAGCGCAATTGTAATGGGCCTCATTCAAGTTGGTCCTGTCAGCATCCGCGTTGGATAGTGGCAAAATTACAGCATCATGCACTTCATTCTTGTGAAATTCGTTAACTTGGCGAACCTTTTGTTGTTCGCCATTTTCACTTCAGTAACTGCTGCAACTCTGAGTCTCGGTCGTCTTGATGACTGTGAATCTAAACAGCCTACTTAATTTTATACATCAGTAGTATTTGGGTGGAATTGGCTAAAATAAACTTATTATAAAGTTCTGTAACTTAGCTTCGGCTCTCTGGTGGTAATAAATGCCGGAGAACTTTTTGTATTGTTAACGCCTCTCTACCATTTCGCTCATGACTGTGAAATCTAGTGTGCGTTGGCAACAAAAGAGGGACTCGACAATTTGCTTGTTGGTGGGCTGACTCCCGGTTATGGGTTGTTTTGTTTCTTACCAATTAAAACACCCTCAGCAGTACCACCTCAATGACACCCCCGATTTTGCAAATCTGCTTTTCTACATCTCAAGTACAGTGGATACATGCTAACAATTTTTAAGCTGTAAAGTCAGTTCCTGTGACTAATTTGTACTGTAAGCAAGAAAGAGTGCTTGGTTGTGTGTCTGGAGATTTGCAAGGCCATAATGGTTAACTATTTCCCTTATAACCTTCAGCCACGGTATCTACTAGGCTTATTAACGAGGCCATAAAATGACTCTTTAGATGCCAACCCTGTCAAATGATAGCCATCTTAACAACACTCCCTGCTCAATGATGCTACACGTCCAGATGGGAGTGCAACAAGCTTACATGGTGGTACAAAGAGCCCATGACCCTTCATTGAAGACTGCCATTGACTGCTCGTACTTCAATTTGACCACATTAGTTTCATAAAATCATACTTTCATGCAAGATTTATTTACACATGCACGTAATGAAAATGTACAAACCTAATGGAATCAAGAGTCGAAGACTTTTACATCAGATTCTCCGGTTTAGTAGACGTAATTTCTCGTTTATGCTGTCCTTTGAAAATGTAGGTGGGATAATTGATTTTTTTGACAGTGAAACGGATTTGGAATCTCATTTTGATGTTGCTAGTGATGACGTCATTTAATGAAAAAGCGTTTACGCTGTACTGCTACCAACTCCCTTGACCAACAGATATTTTAATGGCCCTTAGCAAGTACATTTTCATTTACTGCTACTACTTATCAATTCCGTTTGGCATTGAACGCTCTTCACAAGTATTGGACTTCAAATTTATGCAAAACGTAATGGCATTTACGTATTGTCGTAATGATGTCATCACCGGTCAAGGCTGAAGGCAATTCGCCAGGACTTCAGGCGCGCCTGATGTGTTGCTATTTCAGATTCGAAGGGTGTTATTTACCAGATGCTCTTGGGAGAAGAGGAACTGAATCAAAAAAGCGAGCTAGAGATAAGCATACAAAAGTGGAATTTTATATAGTCCTCTCAAAAGTGTGCAAGTGAAGGGCGTATGTGGGCAGTGTTTAAGCACAATTTGCGATTTCGCCTACTCTTCTTGTTGTCTTCGACATGAGCAAGATACAATGTGTGAATCGCTCTTCCTGGCTATGAATCAAAGAAGCCCACCGAGTAAGTTCCTTAAGCCGTCATTTGGTGGTTTTATTAGCAAACGATACGATTAACTGCCATTAAAAGAAGGCGGAGCATAGAACTTAAAGCTCTTGTTGTAATTTCGTTGTCAGTACAGCCATAAGGGTGTGGAAATTTAAGCGTTGGAGTGGGCGTTCGTCTTAGTACAAGGAAGAAAATTCGTTTCTTCTTGACATAAAAGTTTGGATGTCTCGTAGTTATGAAGTTCGATGATTTCATCAATGAATCAGGAAACACCATCAATGGAAGAATGTACATCCTTCCTACGTTTTCACCATTCAACAGTATCTTAAGACCAACAAATTTAGTCGCATACTTAAACAGGAAATCGTCTTGATATCGATGCGTTTAGGAGAGAAAACCATGCTCTTAGTTAATTGGAGCTGAGGTCCAAGAGGCTGAGGAGCATGCGAATTCGGTCTGCATAAATCCAGTGGTTGGACTTCTGAAAAACGGACCTAAGGCACCAAAAGTAGGCGACCGTGGAGACGATTGGCCCAGCAGATCCCTCTTGTTTGTAAGGAGAACCACAGAAAAACATGTTGCCTCATTTTTAGTCAAAATGTGACCAAATTGGCTTCTTCATAGCAGGCATTTATTTTATGAGCCGATTTTGGAGCCATTTGTACTGCTTTTCTACGAAAACAAAATCATGTCCGAGTGCCTTTTGCATAAATGAAGTGAGTGAATTCACATTTGTAGTTGATTCAAAAGGTATCTGTACTTTGCTGTAATAACCAGTCACTACGGGTGAATAGGAGCAAACATAGGATTAAATTTTATCCACTTCTCCATCTTTCTTTTATACAAATATGAAACAACTTGTGGCATTTAAAAATTAATTTTAGTCCGATTACTTGCATGAGCAAACCGAAATCCGAGTAGAGCTAACCAAACAAAACGATCACCGGGCTTTTCAATTTCTTCTAGGCGGGGGCCGAAGTAGAAGTAAAAATACCGCATTCCTAGTCAACCTTTTCAGCTGTATATTTGATGAAAACAGTTATAGTGCTTTTAGAAGCGTGATTTTCTTCCAACTTTTCAAACTACTAATGGAATGCGTAGTTTGCACACACGCAGTGTTAACTTGATTTGATTATTCTAAACCGGAAGTTTGGTGCCGCCTACAGACCTACTCCTGCCCCCTTCTCTACCCTTCCCTGCTCCTCCTGCTCCTGCTCCTCCTCTTTTTCCCCTTGCTTTGAAAGAGGAGAGGAGAGTTGAATAGAGCGAACTTCCCTTTTGCTTCACCCGTTTTACCCACACCCATTCCGTAGTGCAATTTTGTGTGTCAAGCATATTATTCCCTTTCATGTCATAGTGACCGCTGTGAAATCGGCCACCTTTTGAAGTGACCAAAGTGGCACCCACTCTGTTTGAAACGTTTTCTTCCCTTGGACATCCAACATATTGGCCCCGCCTCCTATTGGTCAGCCCAAGGTCATTGCGAGTAAAGTTGAAGAAAATGAGCAAAAATCTAGGAGAAGGTGTACTTTAGCAGGGTTTTGATTCTACATTGCCTTTCTCTATTGCTATATTTCCCATCCATGTGTATAGATCCTTTTTTTGCTACAACTGGATTGCCTTATTACTCCCTCCATTTCGCTAGCTCCGCTAAGTGGACTATAATTAGAGCCGCAGCCTGCAGAGAGAGAGAGGGAGAGATGTAGTGAAAATTGCCCTTTTCAAAACGCTGTACAAGCACCACCGCCACCCTATTTATGTCGGCATTTTGATGGCTTGACAATTTCGGTTAGACACACAGGTTTGTGTGTATGTGTGTGTTTACGGGTGTGGGTATGCATATGTAAGCGAACAGAAACACACCTCAGTGTTAATACAGACGAAAGAAATGCGCGCAAATAAGTGCTGCGGTTTAACGGAGCTGAAATTTCTCAATCGTAGATACTTTACAGCGCCCACTTAAGGCTCACCGAGTAACCTTCTCTCTAGCCCCCTTCTGGACTTAGTGTTTTCGCTTTCTGCCACTACAACGCTCAGCCGAGATCGCTTTCCAGCGTTGTAGCTTAAATTAAAACCGAGATGTGCTTGCTGTCATCTCAAATATTATTCTTATTAATTAACTTGATGGCATGCCACTCTGCGCAAGGTGACTGGGAGAGGTTGAAGGAGAAGTAAATATAGAAAAGAAGAGAAAAATGGCCTTTTTCTTCTGGCCAAAAATAGTACCTAATGAGTTTAATTGCAGCGCGAACACCGTGCAGTATTGATTTCTAAATTAGTCAGCAGCTAAGAGACATCTGCTAAAAATCAATGCTTTTTAATCAAGGGCTTAAATTGCTGGCTGAAATTTCTGTCCGTCAAATAATTTTCTTTTTTTTTCATAGACTGAAACGAAAGTCAACGCCCTTGAAATTAGATTCGTTGAATTTCAAGTTGGAACTTGTTCATAAACGTGTAGTGAAAGCCATTTTAGATGAGTAATCTACATTACCATTGGCAGGCGCCGAAGTCGACTACCGATAGATAATCGATATCGATCGGATTACCGACACTGCCCTGCCCCCCAAAGTCCAAGTTTGGCAAAATAAGTAACTATTTCATAAGATTCTTTGGTCGATCAGTCTGAATTTTGAACTGCCCTTATGAAAAAGCTAAAAATATTGCAAACCTTATTAATGAATAGCTGCTGAATTGTGAAAGTATTAACTCTTTACTTTCGGTTGTAGATCGCAATTGTTCAATTCCAATCTGAGCTAAGTTTAAATGGAACTTCGACTAGTCATTGATAAAAGCATTGTTTTTTCAGCCGTGTGCCTTAAGCTCCTATCGAGCTCCGAATAAGCTAAGTTTTTTCCGGCGTTTTAAAGGTTTTAAGCCTTAATCGGGATTTACGTTTACGACAAATTAATGGAACTGCTTTTGTATCGCGGTGGGTCCCAGAGGAACCCCTAGAGAGCCTAACCCTTGCAATCGATGATTTCAAACGCTCAGTTAACCCCAATGTCCTGAAGCTCAACGCAAAATTTGTCACACGTAAACATTTGTTGGCATCTAGAAATCAAAAGACAAACCTTAACTTGACGCTCGCAGCTTTAGAAACCGGTGGCCTCCTCCCAAACTCTGTCCACTTCTATGCAGACCAGTATCCCGCAGGGGGAATCAACCACCGAAGCTGAACACTTTACCACTTCAAATGGAGTAGATGAAAAAAGCGCGTACTTTTACTCTGCTCTAATTAGGCCACTTAATAAAAAGGAGCATTCCATTAGACTCCAGGCCCAACTATTTCAGCATCGATTATCTCGTCAACTAAACTGTTCAGCTAATGGGTGGCCAGTGGATGAGAATAGAGCGAAAAAGGCAGCAGCAGCAGCAGCAGCAGTAGCAGCACCACCACCACCACCACTTAGCAAGGCGATAGAGTTTTTTTGCCCTCTCTATATATGCTAACGAATTTTCTCATTTTCACGCTTCTAGCCTCACGCAATATGTGAAGCGAGGGGGACAGAGATTGAGATAAAGCTTGTATGCGTGTTTTCGTGTTTACTAGGTTGCTCATAAAATTGTTGTTGTGCGTGCGTGCGTACATGCGTGCTTACGACCACATTTGCGCTCTGCACACAGGTGGTGGCGCAAATTTACGAGAGAAAGGGGCTAGGGAAAAGATAGTAAGAGGGAATACCGCCACTACCGCCGCTATTGGGAGACTTGGGAGATTGAAAACAGTTCAAAAAAATCGACACAGACTGCATGTGTGCAGGTGGTCGCTAACTCGCTTGCTTTACGAAATGATTAATGAACATTCGAAACTCCCTTTCCTTTGCTTCAAGGCTACTTCAGTTTGTCGGTTCCTTCAAGTTGCCATTGTTGTTGCTTCCATTTTGTCATCGCCTGCCTGGCTTCCTGACTGACTGATGGTAAAAATGGCGCTCTACGCTACTATCAAGCCGCTGACTCACGCAAACATCACTGTTGGTGGGTTTTAAGGTCATTCGGGCCAGCGGTGTACTTTTAACCTCAAACGAGCGCGTCCTACCCAATCTAGATTTGCTCTGCTAATGTACTTAAGCTGGGGCAGAACTGGTTTCACCAAAGTAAAAGTGAAAAAGTATTTCACAGAAATGAGACTGTAATATTCTCCTTACTTTAAATGCTTAAAAGCACCTGACGACAGTCTTGGATCAAAAAGCGAGTAAAAGAGCTAGGATGCCGGCCATTCTAAAAGAGCCGGACTGGGTCTAGCTTCTTTAATAATATTGCTGCAACTACGTCACCTCTTGGTTATGCCCAAGCCAACTTAGCTCGTGAAAATCACTGAGTGTTGTGCTTATTTTGTTTGTTCCATCCCAATTCAAGGTCAGTGAGATTAACTATAATATCTACTTATGTTTTAAAAGTAGCAAGCAATATGTTTTTCCGATCAGGTGCGCTACGTGCTTCAAAAGCTTCACACAGATGTCAAATCTACAGTCGCATCAGCGCCAGCATATGAAAGGAAAACCTCATCGCTGTGAAAACTGTTTCATGTCGTATGACACAAAGGAAGAATTAGATGTCCACGTTCAAGCGAAGCACTCGGGTAATCGATACGCCAAGGTGCTTGTCTGTCCAGCGTGTTCAAAAAGCTACAACTCGGAGACATACCTGGCGAAACACATGGAACGCCACAAAGAGGCCGTCACAAATGCTAATGTTAGTCGATTTGGTGCTCTAAATACCTCGGCAGGCGCCCTAGGAGCCCTCAGTGGGTTCATGACAAGTCATCACACAGGTATGGGAGGTAGATCTATGGCTCCAGTGACGGAACAAAGTCTCCACGAAGAGCTTCAACAAAGAATTGGACACCCGCAAGATCTGCAAAATCTTCAGAGAGCCGCAGTGGCTGCAGCTGCCTCTATTATGTCTCCCATGGGTCCTGGAAGTGTTGGCGGCTTGACAGGTCATGATACAAACCATCTACTTCATCACCTTCCAACCGGTCTACAAGGACAACTTGCAGTGGCTCAGAAGGGTCACCAGCAGACCCTTCATGGTGGTGGAACTCATCCGGGGAGCCATTCAACTTCATCCGGTTTTCCTGATACTTACCAACAGCATCAAATGCTGGCCGCGACCTCACCCTACTCTAATCAAATGCCATCTTTTCTTGGACGTCCCTCTGCAGACCGCCACATGCCGAGGTTTCCCCCGACACCATTGGACGCTGGACGAAAGATGATGGACTTTCAGGCACCTCCACCTCCACCGCCTCCGCCACCTCCTCCAATGGCGCATCAACAGATGGCTTTAGAGCATGCAGTTCCACCTCCACCACCTTCGATGCAGCCTCCACCACCACCACAGTTTCAGTCACCTCCTCCGTTGCCACAACAGCAGCAGCAACAGATGAGACCTTTTGGTCATTCACCACAGGCCGTTGGAAGTGGAAAAGGTTTGGATGGAGGGAAGCCCGTAGGCGAAGAGGGTAAGGAGGTTAATCCCAACGCTTGGGAACAGGGCCCAGTAACTCCCATTCCCATGGATGGCCAGGAAGATGCCGGGGGTGGTGTCAGCATAACTGGTGACGAACCAGGGGCTCCGAATCTCTGGACTCCACATTCGGCAGCAAAGCGACTCAAACCCGATCCAGATGAACGCGTGGGAGCTTACAATCACCACCACCAACATCAGCACCATCACCATCATCCACAACAGCCCTTCGAGACGGAGTATCTCAGACGTTCAGCTACAGCAGAAGCACAATACCAACAGCATATGGCTCCACCGCAGATGCCACCAACAGAGAATTCGATGGAACATGTGGTTGATAAACTGGCAAAGTTTTGGCAAAGGAATTCTGTCAGTCATGGTATGGATGGGAAACCCGGAAGGGATATCCGAATAGAGGCGTTGTTAAGCGGATTCCCACAAAATCCGGTGCGAGAAAGGCAGGATGACGAAACAGAGGAAGAGGTGGTGGAACGTCTACGTCATATGTCACAGTCTTCATCAACAACAAATAGAGAAAGGGACTTCCAGGCAGAAACGCAATCACCGCGAGCTTCACATACAGTCCAAGAGGATGGTGAGAGCGCGTACCGCCGTAACTCAGCGAATGGAGGTGGCGAAGACCGTGAGGATGACGTGTCTAGAAATGGAACAACTCCACCGAACTATCGTGTAGCATACACTGGCACTGGGAATCCAACAACGACTGATAGCAATGGTAACGCAGAAAACAACTATTCAGCAGCAGCTAATGCATTCTATGGAGCCGATGCGGCGGCTAGAGATTTATCAGTGATGCGAGATGATGAAAGGACACAGCAGCCGAGTAATGTCGCCAATGAAATTGGTTTTCCCGTCCACTTCTCGCAGTCCCAGTAGAACAGCAGAAAATCCAGTGCACACACTAAATATCGTGCTTTCTTTTCCTCTTCTTGCCAGCCTCCTTTAGCAGGGTATTAATCTGTACATAGGCCCTCTCCTGAATATGTGCTGTTTATTACTAACTAATTATTGTTATTACTACAACTATTATTATTTTGTTTGTTCACAAGTCGCAGCCACCGTCACTGCCGTTACCGTCATCTGTATGCACTACCGATTATTCATCAAGAAGGTCTCCGCTACTAATAGCGACATTAGTAGCTGTTTTGTTTCGTTTTACGAACTCCCATTGTATCCAGCTCCAGGCCATGAATCTTGCCATTACTTGAACCATCCAATCAATCACTCACTCAGTCAGTCACCTACTCGCACATGGGTATTTTTTATACAGACAATCATCACTTCCTCACCATTTTCTTGTGTTTGTTTTTCCCCAAACGACTGTTTTTATTGTCAACTCCTGCAAAAAAAGCAAGGAATCTTTACGGGCAAATGAGGGTATACGTATAAATATGAATGTGTTGCACAGGATGCATAGTCACTTGTGCGCCTGTTGGTACGAAGAGGAAAAGAAGAGGAATAGGAGGGAAAAGTGCGTGCACGCGTCCTGAAGGCCCCCACAGTAACCTCTACAACTCCGCCCCTTCCCTCCGGTCCCTTTACCCACGTCACCACCACCAAAGCTGCCAACTGCGTTCCACTGAGCTGGATTCTATTATATACATATATAAATAAATAAATTCACATGCGTGCGAGTGCGTTGGTTGGTTGACTTTTGGGCAATCAAAGTGACAGAAGATTGACTCCTATAATTTCCCATGGCAGCCAAAACATTAGTTGTTGTAAGGAATCGCAGTGCATCAGCACACGCAAAGTATTGACCAGCTGATTTGCAGGCATCGAAAGTATCTGAAACACGATTGGCAATTTCGGAGCTGCAAACCGGAGGCCTCTCTTCCAATTGGTTGGTTGGTTCTCAACCAATCAGAACAACAGCTACTATGGCCATTTGATCATGTCACTCGAGTTCTGCGCTGGATTAATCTATTACGGCTAGAAGGCTTGGACCATTGAATAGATTTGCTGCCGCCATACCCGCAGCTTCTCAGTGCAGCGTGTTCAGTGTTTCGTATTTAATAGCATTTCAACCTCAATTATATGCATTGAGTTACCAGCAATAGGCATTAGAAACAAAGGTTCATCTTAGGCACGCAAATAGATCAAAAATATCCATAAGCATCGTTCCACCATATCATGACTTCACGAGCTATTCCAGATAAATCTGGATGAATGGAAATACAACGTAGGTAGCACCAATGAGAAATAGAATACCATGGATGATGGGAAGCTTCGTGTTGCGTTTGCTGCCTCAGCCACAGATTCCGCGACCTAGTTCTTGCATCCTAGCCCGATACTGTAGTTGTTGATGCCGTCTATTACACCGGGTCGCATCACATGCAAAGATGACAAAAAGGCAGAATACTCAGTCATAGGCAGAGGTGTTTGCAATTTCTCTGTGACATTTCAGTCAACAATAGCAAGTGACAGTTCAAATTGGAGCGGATTAAAATATCGGCTCCATAATAGTCGATTTTGCCTGAACCTTGGAAGTAAGTGCGTTAATGAGATTCTTGAAGTCTTCGAGGAAATGAGATCACTTAGTCCACAATAAAGAAACGAGCTAAGATGCTACAGAGGGCAACTGAACCGAGCAATCAGAAAAGAGCCAATAAAGATGGTTTGGTAATTGTGGAAAAATTAAAGCATCAATTTCCACCTTGCACTGTGCCCGAATTTGTAGATAACATAAATCTTGGAACCCAGCAAGAGAGCTTCGATGGATTGCTGGGTGCAAATGCATTTGAATCGTTGCATGATAAAACTCTTGGATAATGAATAATAGAAGGAAGTGATTGGAAACATTTCACAGTCTCGTCAAAGAAAAATAATGAATCACAAAAGGTCGTGTTGGCATTGACCTCGAATTGATTTAAGAGTCCTTCGTTGGGCGTTGAAAGTGGTCGTTGGTAGTACGACTGAGGAAAGAATTCGTAATCTTCCCTTGGGAAATGGGAACATGGAACCGAACACGACTTCCTTGATCTAATTAGTCGAGTACGGGACAAGATTAGCTAACTTTATCCACAAAGGCTTGCAAGTCATTTCAAGGGTAATGAGAATTCGAAATTCCTCTATAAACATGCGAAATCTGTTAAACCAAGTATTTCCTACTAATCGACCAGTTGCTTATGAAGAATAGGTTCATGTATGCAAACATCTTATAAATCCCACCTTCTGCATGCTGACACGCCAAACAGAGACAGCAAGGACACCTACATTAACATCTTTGCGTAGGATCCTCGGGATGGGACTGCTGGAGACGAGTGGTAAGTGCAAACCTCCATCGTGCCTGCAGATATTCACCTCTATTCGTGACATGTGAGTGGTTTAGGAAATTATCAACAAAGTTGCAAGCTGGAAAGACGACAAAATCACGACTGTAATGAGAATTTTGCCTAAAACTACATATTTCAGTGATACCCCAAAAACACACTTGTGGCTCGAGTGACAAAATCCTTGAACTTTTGAAGGGTTCTGAAATATCTTCTCGGTTGTGCATAACTTACTCCTGTGTTATTCGAAGGAAATTGATGATCCGCAGTCCACACTTGCCGTAGCAAGACTAAAAGAGTTGGTGTGATCTTCATCAAGGGTGGTTGGAATGCACTCACTTATCTGTATGGCGCCTTTTACTAAAACTACTATCACTTTCCTTGTCCTTTGAAGCCTAACAAGCGAGGTCGCTTCCCTCAGCCCACTTGCCCAAACCCGTCTCCTAAGCCAGAGCACGCATTACCCAGAAGAAGGCGTTGACGCTTATAGCCAGCGAAAAGTTGTGAAAGGTATGCAAATGAGCGTCCCAATTCATTTGACTTCACTTCTTCCACAGGCGCTAGCAAAACTCGTCACTCACTTGAACTTGCTTCATAATCAACTAAGTTGTGATGGTGTAGGGTTGCTGCACTTCTGCATACAGTAGACGGACGCCAACACGTTTAGTTCTTCAATTCAATTGCTTTGTGAACTAATGTGTAGAATGAACTGCACACAGTAAATTAATTACTCAAGGTTAAGTCATTACGATGGAGGCCTACTTACTAAGCACAACTGAAAGGCGATAAGAACACCGTTTCGTAGGTAGGTGTTATTGAAAATGCAAGACTTGATTTTACATATAAGGCTAGAAGAAAGACGATACCTCAATGCGCAGACCTCGACCTCTACTACTTCTACTTCTAGAGGTGGCTAAAAAGAACTACCTCTACGACTAAAACGACTTACATAGTTGAAGTGTTTCAATGGAATGAAGTGTAGATAACTACAACGGCTAAAATGTCTATCCCAAGAAGCCAAAAACCCATTTGATCACCTTATACTAACCAAATTTAGGTAGCATGCTGAAAACCAATTTGTCTGCACTTTCACGACTTCAAGCCCTGAACATGGAGGCGCAACATCTGCTTTTCTCTCAGGTAAAAAAATAGGTTTAAATGAGGAAGTTTCCCAACAATATGAAAGTAAAGAAGCTTGTGATCAGGAAACTTGTAACTTGTTATTTGTTTGGTCACTTATAGCCACTTTGAGTTGGGACCACTGTATGGTGACCGGTGGTCTCAAGTCTTACGGAATGCGAGGTCCCTACAAACTTTACATTAAGAGGCATCTATCTACAGTTCTGCTACGAAACAAATCCTGGCGGGATGGTGGATAAGTCGGTGAGAGAAATAGTGGCGAACACCGACAGAAGAGCTGAAAATACAGTCAATCTGTAACAGCCACCCCAGCTATGTGTTCAGCAGAATGACTATGACCGATTCGACACCAGTCGTAAAACATCCAAAAATGTTTCGTTGCTAGATTTTCGGTTGCAGCAATATAAAGATATCAATGCAGCAAAATTTCAATTCCTCCAATTGTATAAAAGCTGAATTAAGTCTTGTAGGCATGCCTGGACGACTATAAGGTGAGTATAAAGCACGGAAAAATAAATTCGAAACATTACTACAGGAAGCTGCATTAAGTTACACTCTCCCATGCATGAATATAAATTTTTGTCTACGTTTCTACAACTAGTTACGGGTACGCAGGATGAGCAGAACATTCCTCCATCCCTCAATCCAGATCCCACGGAGAATAAAACTCCGAATCTAGTAGGATTTTCGAGAGTAATCGGCGACGCTGCGGTCACATATCGCCTTAGATGCAAACAGAATCAATGGCCGGAGCCAATGGTTCCTGAGTGTTTTATATTTCTAATTGCGCTGAAATGAGTGAAGTACGAGTTCAACAGAAGGGAGCGCCAGGAATAATGCTCAAAGGCGATGATTCACCAGTACAGATTAGCAGACCTCTGGGCTATGCAAATAAATCGAAGCACTTCCGTGGGTCAAAAGTAGATATTTCACCAAAGCACAGTTGTCCTCCAGCTTCAGAGATGTCTCGAGAGCGGACAAATAAAAGCCCATTGTTGCGTCCTTATCCAGGCCTTGTCAATGGTTCGATTTTACTTGATTATCAATGCGATAACCAACACCAGCATAACAGATGAAAATACTAAAAAATGACGCCAAAATTGTTGCAATAAACCTGGGGCCTAGTGACAGCCCAAAAGACCGATAAAATAACCAAATTCGCTTTTTTAAACCACATAAGTGAATCGAAGCAGAGGTCAAAAAGCATGCGCAGTTGTGTCAAAAAGGCGACTAAAGATGCATATAGGAAGAATAATTAACACCCCATAGTGTAAGGGATGCGCAGAGCAAGTGCTTCAAAATGGTCAAAACCAGCCTAGCCAAAAGGAAAAGAGAAGAGATTCAAGTCAATGATGACACAAGTTGGCTCTGGAACTGTTGCAATTGTGTTCTTTAGGGTCATACCAAATTGGCTGAGAAATGCTTAAACACCCAGTTTCCCAGGAACACCGTCCTGCTCAACAATTACTGACAAAGCAGCATCAACAAAATAGAGAGGGCATTAAATACTTGCTGTGCCTGGGTATGGGCCAAGTCACCTCAAGTTTTCAAAAGAACGAAGCATTAAGCAAATTACAATACAAATACAAATTTATCCCAATGGTGCTATTGACGGCGACCTTAGTTTTACCATCAATAGGCTGCGCAAATTCGTACTACAAGCACGACACAGCTTTATTAGAGATAGAAGATCTTGGCTGTAGTGGCGAGTTTTACCACTGGAGACTTGAAAGGTTGAGATGTGAAGTTAAGATACACAAAAAAGTAAAACATCAAAAAGCGGCAAACCCATAAAAGACCGCAAATTTTTGTTTTAAGGTTAAGTGAAGCAGAGAATAGGAGGTTGGGAGACACTTTTGGAAGATTTAACAACAATAACCGGTTGATTGGGAACTCGCCTTGACGGGTTCCGTTTGCGTGATGATGATGGGCTGTGATTGCTGTTGCATTTGTAGTTGACGCTGCTGCCGGAAAGCTTTAAGGAGTTGTTCAGCCATAGAGAAAAAGGCTTCCTCTACTCGAGAAGCGCTTTTCGCGCTGGTCTCGAAAAACTGCAGGCCATGAAGATTTGCGAACTCCTGAAAGAAAGTGAAGTTGGCTTTGTGAGTGGGAAAGACAATGGTTAAATGAACAATTAGAATATGAGGGCGGCTCATTAGCCATAGCTTCAAGAAAGGGGTAAAGACGGACAAGAGTAGTTACAACTGCCTACTGAGAACCTCGATAACAGTTGACACTGTGATGCCAAGTGCAGTCACAACAAAATGCTGAGATGGTGTAATCGTTCGTTAGCTAGCCGCTTTCGTTAGTGGTGGCGCCTGGCAAAGAAATAATTCCTTGTCGCAAAAGAACATTAAACGCATAGAGCGCCTGATTCTGCATCAACCACGCATAACCGATGAAAACGGTGAACAGACTCATTCAGGGACAACCTTCTGCCTTAATGGGTTACCCTTTACAGAAAATCGCCATTCACCAAGACCTTACGGATATTCGCCTTAAGTTAGGTTAAATGTATACATGAATATAACATAGGAGCAACTCAGGAAAATTGCATGACCTCTGAAGGCTACACTTTACCGTATATGTCAAACAAGAGAGCCCACATTTGGCTTGAAAGTCCACTATAAAGCACACTCATTTTTAGGAAAGCCAGGGATTATATGTTCATCATTAATTTCATCATGCCTAGAAGCGCAAACATTGCTTCCATCTGGTTACCGCCTCGAAGATGAGATGAAGTAAAATTCTTCGTTGCATTAACCACCAGTAGCTAGGAGTTAAGGTAAACAGCCTACCGCGCCTTGCTCATAAGTGACCTTTCGACGATCCTCCAAGTCTGACTTGTTGCCGACGAGGATTTTGATAACATCGCTACGTGCATGCCGTTTGATTTCCTCCATCCACAAGCCCAGATTCCGGAAACTCTCCTGAAAAAGGTGAAATAAAGGGATGTATGGAACTTGCTAATCTTGAACATCAAGCAAACGAGATCGGCTATGTTAGTCACGAAAATACTTTTGCATTTTAATAAATGCTAAGTGCATAAAAGTAAGTCCACCATACTACCATTCCATTCTGTTGTCGAGCCTCTTACATAAAGGCGAATGAAACGCATTCGTCAAGCAATCCAATAGGCAAGATTAACAATGAAATTATGAGCGTTTTAGCAGTAACATAAAATAGCCAGACACTAAATGAATCAAGAGCTATAGGATCGGTGAGCAGCAGAGTAATTGGAGGTGGGACCTACGGCAATGAGTCTAGTACACACATCTCCAGACGAACTGACACAAAGAGGCAACAAAGGTTGATGATAATGGAGCAAGATCTTGACAGAACTAAAAAGCAGTTTCCCATGAATGCACCAGGTGTCGGCATGAAGAATTCTGTAATCTTGTAAGGCTTTAAAGACCTGGGGAATTGGCAATAAGTGGACGAGGCTAAACACAATTAAGCTGGCGTTAGCTTAAAACTTCACATAGCTTCTCACGTTAGTAAAGACAGATTTAGCAAAAAAATGGGCACATGTGAAGCCTATATTCCCCAAGACTTTTGTTGAAATAGCACATGACGAAGTTATAATAAATGACAATTAGCCAGTATAATTAGCCTGTCTTGAAACCCACAAAACCTTGATTTTGCAGGTTCTGCAGCAGGACAGCAAAAAATGGAGTGAAAATCAAATACTTGATTAACCAGGGAGTGATAATGGGCTCTCTAGACGAGTGAGAGGCACTCAGTACTAAGGTAAATTGCACTCTGATGTAGGCATCGCAGTGAAGCGAGAAAACGTCCTATATTCAATCTAACTCCCGAAACCCTCACAATAATGAAGACACGAGAATGACAAATAAAGACACTGTCTACTTTGCAGAAAGTCAACAAGTCAAGGTGGCACAGCCACGCAGACAGCCAAGGCAGAAACGCCACTATGGTGATGTCATACCTCGCTCAAGGCTGGTAGCGCTCTAATCAATCTCGGACGTTAGAAGACAACTTAAGTTTATGGCTCCTCACAATACTAACCGAAAAATACATACAGTTGATAAAAAGTGAGCTGATGAATTTGAGATTCTAAACCACAAAGAAAACCAGTACATGAGAGGAAGTATGGAAACGCTTCTCAAATGGATGTTATTAACAGAACGGGAGCACAAAGAAACAAGTAAGGTTCATGATTCTCTTTAAAGACAGTACTTTGCAAAAAGTGCGCGCCCTTGTAAAAAAATTAAGCTTTCCTTGTGATTCCTCCAACTCATAAAGCTATTTTAGAAATTTAGGACTGAAGTACAGGAAGACATAGCCATAAAAACCGGAATAACAGTCGGAGCGGAGATGTTTACCGCCTCAATCAATCGCAAGCACCGTTTCGAAAAAAGAGCCAGTTACATCGATGCATTTCAGAGCCTGAGACTCAAATGATGCAACTATGTGGAGTTCACCACTTGCATTTCGGGTCAAATCGAACGTGGCATAAAAAACAAGGACACCCCAATCATCTGGAAAAGCAACAACCTACTTCGGAGGTGACATCATAGACCACGATGATACCATGAGCTCCTCTGTAATACGCGACTGTCATTGTTCGAAATCGTTCTTGCCCAGCCGTATCCCAAATTTGGAGTTTAATATGGTGACCATCCAAATCAACGGTGCGAATTTTCTGCAAAATTTAGTTGCAAAGTACTAGGAACTTACAAAATCAACACCGATAGTGCTGCTGAAATTTTCATAAAACGTATCATCCTTTAAGTGTCTAATAGTGGAACGCAAATATCTTACCGCAAACCGCAATAAAAGGCAGGATTTTCCAACGCCAGAATCACCAATCAAGAGCAATTTAAAGATGTAGTCACTAAAACGGATGCTGAGCATGGATACTAATTACTGCTGCACAATATCTGCGATAGCCATTTGGCGTAAACCCCAGGCACAGATGAGACTATTGGGTGGATTTCACAAGCAGCGCCTGAGCGAAAGCAAACCTAAACAGGCCACAAAAATATTTTCCTGAGTAAAAAGTGTAAGTTAAAAACAAATTTTTGTTGTTAGCAAAATGAAAAATATCAACATTAGCAATAAAATTAAATAATTGTAAATTTAAAGCTCTTTGCATTTTCTGGTTAAAAAAAACAAATATACACTGGTCTGCATCTGTTCAAGATTTCCCATTAGGTAGAAGAAGATACTAAGCTGGACTTTATACATGCCTAAGACTGTTTATGTGACCATTTAGTATCTGACGCCCACTTCGTTATTCTTCTGGTCATTGTACACGTGGACTGGTCATCGGACCACGTCATGAATTAGTTCTTTCCTTGTCTTCCAAAAATACTTGTATTCATTTCAACATAATGCCTTTCCTACCTAGTGGCTCAAAGGCCAACTTGTGTGGATAAGGACAAGTAAAAATAAAGCAACCACCAGACGCATAGGTGGTCAAATAATTCAAGTATTACAACACTCTTCTCTTCTTTTCAGCGATATCCTTTGCGCTCTCTTTGGCACACCTGTGCCAACGGTACCACTGTGTCCGGAGCTAATGTGAACAGCCACAATCCAGTAGTGGTCGTCATCAGTACTTGGTCTTTTTAACAAATTTTGTTGAATTCCGAGTTGAGCTCGGTCTGGTGCAGGAATCAGAACCGCATACATCTACTGACAATTAGTTGTTTTCAAGACTAGACGTCGGAGCGCTGGACTAAAATAGATGTTTAATACGGAAGATGTGACTAACCGTGGTCCTGTATTTAAGGGATCCAAAGTAGTGGGGTTAATTAAATTTTGACGTAAACACTGACGGCGTCGCTTCAGTGTCGATATTTTGTCTGCGCATCATTGGGACAAGGTGGAGCGAACTGCAGACATTCAGCTCTTCTGTTATGAAGGTATCTGGAGACTTCTCGCCCAAATTACATTATTTTCACCTGCCACCAGTGTGGTGTCTTGAGAATTTCTAAGAGGCGCAAGGAGGTATTAGGTATTAGACGATTAAGCTTTGGGGTTGGGTTTTGACTTGACCCAAAGGCAAGCTTAAGCGTGCACTGGCAAGACGGATACCAAAATCAAATGCTCTACAATCTCTCTACAGGTAGTCGCATCGACAACGTATTGCAATGTTGGTTTTAATCTTTTTCGGTTATGATGTTCAGCTTTTAACTTTAACTCAATATGATCGATGCTACCAATAAAACAATGCAGCAGCTTTGCCGTTTCCTTACGATTAACTGCATCAATTTAGCCTTATGCTCTCTGTTGCTAAATGAAGTGTTCCAAATCTGTTTTGACATTTGTAATTTCCCCCTTAGTCTGTAATTTTAGTAAAATGGATTGATAACCCTAATGTTGCTTTGCATTTTGGGATTGTTTCTAGTTAAAAATGATGGCAGGCGTAGAAATCTTGTCGAAATGCATAAACACCGGTTAAAAGACAATTGGATTATAAAGGACTCATTTGCAAGACCATTCTTTGTGCTCTAACAAGCTTTGAAGCAAATGTAGCATTTCAAAGTATATTCGTAGGTATTAAGAGGCGTAATACTTGGCCGAATACGTATTTTAAAGCAGAAACAATAGAGGTGAGACCCAGGTCCGTCCAAACTCCAGTCCACTTAGTGAAGACAATACAGCAAAATTTGATCACCACTTATACAGGTAACTGAACGAACAAAGTATCCCATTTTCGTTCTTTTCATTCGAATGACGTCCCTCGGGTTCTCATCGACAGACATCCTGCACCAGCCATCAACACGAAGTAGGTGCCCTAAGAAAACACCTAGACTAACCGAATGAATCGCAAACTTTTATGCGCCTAAAGAGCGACTTGATCGCAAAGTCACCGATCCCTCTGCAGAGTTAACTGGATCTGGAGTCTCGTTTGGCCGGAGGTTCTGTTGATCAACATTTGTGTCTGGAGCCAGATGACAGAACACTGACTCAAACAGATTGCTAATGAAAATTAAGAACATCCAACTAGGACCTGTGTGAAGACTGTTTTAAGCAGTTTCATCTTGTGGGAATCTGTACGCGGATACAGTGGTTAGTTTCCTGTAGGCAAACACAGAAATGCGGTAGATGGCTAGGACCGGCAATAGTTCACTTGTGAAGTAAAGGACGCCGCCCATAGACTATGTTTACTTTATTCTTGCGCTAAAGCTACTTACAAATGGTAAAGACTGGGGTAAAGGCCATTCCAAAGTTGAGTTTGCTTCCCACTGCCACCAATATAGAGTCGCACAACTTTCTGTTGCTCATAAGAAGGTAGGAGATGAGCTGGCTTGAAGACCAGTTCATTCGACAGAATCAGTGCGGCGGTCTTAAAACGCCACTCATATAGGCATCCGAACAAACAAAGCATTAAAGACAGAATGCGCTATAACTGGTGTTTTGAAAAAAATAATTAATTGTAATGTGACTAGTTCCAACATAGCCGTTTTAAAAGTCCATTTGGATGACAAATACTTAATGCCTATGGGAGAGAATAGTTTAGCGTGGAATCAACTTAAATCCTTTTACAAGGTGCTTTAAGTTTTGAATGATGTATGGCAAAATAGGGAACTAAGTAGGGATTGGTATGTCTAATTTTGCAACCTTCAGGTACCCATGCACTTATTGCTTTCAACACGACCTCTGACAATGCATGTGACACCGCGAGACTCCCCACCAAGCAGAAGAAGGCATTGCGTTGGACAGAGCATATGCATTCTATGAGAAAAGGAGAAAAAGGCTAGCGCCTCCGTCAGCCCACACGTACAAGGGCTCGACAAATTACCGAAGTAACCGCCAGACATCAGGTAGTCAAATAAACCGAGCATTGCAGTGCACACTTTTGGGTCACCTCTGAAGCTGTCAAGAGGAGTAGTTCAGATAACATGAACACGCGTTTGGCCAGGTGATGAGGAAGGAAAACTTAATTTAAGCATAAGATATTGGAGTGTTTGTACACATTGGCAGTTACAACTGCCTTATTTTAGGAATCAATTAAAGTAAGTCTAAATTTTGATTGCTATTGCGGTGAGCGTGTGATTAGAGGCATGCGAATTCTTTTGACAACGTTTAGCTTTGAACGCTTTGAACGCCGGCAACAGCGATGTCGAGGTGACGTAATTTTTCTTTTTACCAGCTGCCTTAGCGACGTCTTAAAGCAAACAATCTTTGATACCCGAATTGAAGCGCTTATAGGGTCACGCAGCTTGTAAGTCTTGAGGCCCACCCCAGGGAAGTCTGTCTATCCATAACTTTGTGTACGCTATTCGAAGAAGAGGGAGATAAAACGGCCCCAAGTGAATATGACAAATTTTCATACCTTAGCCGTGGTACTTCGATTGTTTGACTTCCGGTTTAGGTTTCGGCTCTCACAAAGGTGACCATGTGCCTTGACCAGGTGGACTGATTTCCGAAGCAATCCAAAAGTCTTGATCTACTTCCTTTTTGCTTAATATATGTATTCTATGCAAGCATTGTGCAACTCCTTACCTATAAAGCCGCCTCGGTAGGCTACATTACCTCTCAAGTCAACAAAAATACTTTTCTTTGTACATAGTAACAACATCGGATCGCTATGAAATTAACTGGACTTCTAAATTCTGCAAACATAACTCTTTAAGAGGTTTCAATGATAGGTGTAGAGTAAATAAAAGTGGCTCGAAACAGTGGCATCCATTAATTCTTAAAAGGGATGTTCACTAAAAGTAAGGATCCCTAACCCTACACAAGGCAATGGATGCTTTGATGCAGATACTAACTTGATATATACTACACTAATAGCACCTTATGTGGATGACGTGAGAAGGTATAGGTAGGAAAAATGTAGTAGGTCCAGCATTTCAAAGATATCAGTGGAATGCGCATATACAGGAGACAATGGGCAATGAAAACCAAAGCGTATCGAGAACGAGAGCAATCATCTAACGAGGGTGGCACTTAAAGCTTTTCAGTGGTGGGACACCTAAAGGACGTAAAGGACTTAATAGGCACTGCAAACCTATCACTTTACTGTTTAGTCTTAATAGTCAGTTATGTTTAGACATTTTTTCCGCTAAAATTTTAACGGTCAGCCTTAGACTAGACAAATTATGTTAGTTAGGCATTCATCCGTAGCAATGGTGAAAACCACCATTTGCTGATCCAAGGGACCACAATTGCATTGGCAGGCATACCTGAACCGAAGTTCGGCGTAATGATTTAGTCCTAGGGGCAAAGGCAATGGATACAAATTGTATATGAGTACAAAATCTTAAGCAAATTTTAATGGATTTCGTTTTTTAATGGTAGTTGAGGTGAAACTTACTTTGAGCACTATCAAACCTACCATAATGTGGTAAAGGGCTTCTCCGACACTGCTAAATATCTGATTGGCCACTGTGTGTTCAATTGCCATTGGTACGCTCATGAAAGCGATAGTGCTCGCGCAAACAGGCAGCAGACTTCCTACCTAGGTGTTTTCCATTGTACCACTCAGTGAAATGCATGCTCCACCAAACAACATCAACAATAACACTACCAACAACAGCAGTAGTACAGGCAGAGGCAGTAGTCAGGTCCAAATCCTGGAATACCGGGGAGCTCAACTGGCAGCATTCATTGTGGAGGGGAGAGGACCACTAATATGCCTACCCCAAGCCTTTGAACTCTTCCTCAAGCACTTCGTTGGCGGTCTTCACACCGTCTACACCAAATTAAAGCGTCTGGAGATCCAGCCTGTTGTGTGCAATGTGGAACAAGTTCGCATACTTCGTGGTCTCGGTGCCATTCAGCCTGGTGTTAATAGGTGTAAACTTATCGCACCAAGGGAGTTTGACATCCTTTACGCAGACTGCACAACTTCAAGGCGAGTATAAAGTTTAACTACGCAATTTTATTAGTCTTCAATACTACTTATAACAGTAGCATCTGTGTCACCCTTATAGGGAGGTGTGTAGAACACGGAGCCGACCGCATAGTCAGAACGCAATGTTTTATAACTCCATCTTCCTTACTTTGTGCATCATTTTAACTTTAGAGGGGAGCATTCAAGGTGCCATGTATCTGATGATAAAATTGTTGAAGCTGCTCACACTCAAGCCAAGTAAAATACCTTTTAATTTGAAATGTAAATAGCTAAAGAATTTTCTGTGCCTACAAGTGGGTTTATGATGGTTAAAGGAGTCTTTGAAAGTCTGCCTTGATCTAGGGGTTGACAGAGTATAAAGTTCTACATTAAATGCAAAAAAGTCTGGAATATGCATTTTGTAATGCTTCGTTGAATTGGAAGTTCACCAAATTAGATTTTAAGTTAAATGGAAAACACGAGGCACCATAGGTAGATGGAAATTCACGACAATTCTTGCCAACACATACGCCTCTAAAATATGTTATTTCTCACATAGTGGAGGATACTTATTTGGATATTCATTTAACTAACTTTTTATACAAAAACAAAACAATCATTATAAAGTTTTTGCCTTTTTAGTTAAAATTACCTCATAAGCTGAGCAGAACCGATATCAAAAATAAACGCCGATCTAACTTGAGTATGCAAAGAGGAATAATTTTTTGGCCTAAAACTGCCTGAATACATATGTCGCTTTCCTTACAAAAATCGCTGCTTTGGAAACTTCCTACTAACAGATGAAACAGTAGTATGCACCATGAGCTATGTGCGTGCTCTTTTAAAAGTAGTCGTAGAATAGTAGCAGATCCAATCAAAAGAGTCTTAATTATGTAGATTATAGAGTGGCCAATTAAGTTCAGTTTATACCCGTTTCGTGTGGCATTATTAGTTAGTAAAAATATAACCACTTGTTAGGGACACGGAGGTTTCGTGAATGCTGCAAACATCAAACGATCTTACTCGACTAGGATCAGTGAACAGATTTGGTGGCTCGAAGCTGCTAAATAGCTTACGTTTTATGATGTGCTTAGGCCAAATCAGGGGACAGTAAAATGTTGGAAGCTGAACATTCCTGACAAAACGCGAAGTGAGGGAGGACAGCCGTTACAGAACTGCAAGCCTAGGAGCAAGATTGTAGTCAACGAAGGCATAGTTACGCTCTCTTGCATTATAACTAGGCCTTTAAGGATATTCAAATATCATCGTACTTTGGTACAAAATCTTAGGACATAAGGGGTCATTTACTCCCTCGATAGGTGCGTAAAGGTGGCGTCATCTTGTTGTCTACCAGCGATACTCATTTAAGGCAGTTTCTAGCAATGGTAACTTATTGTCGAAGCTGTGAACTACCAAATTATTAACAGACAGCATTAACTTTTGTGCTCGAAAATCAAAGCTGTCTTAACAATCCCGATTAATGTAAGAGACGGGTTATAAATGAGGTCACAGAAAACTTCAAAACGTTTTTACTTCTTTGCCTCTCCCTTTTAACTCAATAGCAAACATGTAAAATGCTACCACCAGGAATGGATGTATACTTTGAGGCCTTTGCGCTGTGTCAGAAAGCGACTTAATTAAACAGCTTGCCACTTTCATACACCACCGTTTGATTATTTTTGAGCTGCTATTTCATCCCCAATTAGGATAAACTGTTTTGGGGTCCATTAATTCCACAATTCCACAATCACTCCTTGAATGCTTCTAATGTCTGTGTGAAGACAATTCCTTCTTAATCAAGAATGAATGGTGGTAAAAGGGCTACTCGAGTAGCACAACTACAAGATTTGATCTAAACTACTGGAATTACATCAGAATGTACTGATAGTCCGAATGGGTTAAGTAATTGGTGGACAAAGACTACTACGTTTCTTCCGCCAGCAATCCTCATTTTCCTTCTCCAAGTGCACCAAAGGCGAGGGGAGGAAGGGAGAGGGGATTAGAAGAATGACTTTGATACAACGACAGCACACACTCGCACACACATAAGCCTTAAAGACTTAATTAGCATTTTGAGTTGGCAATCGTGACTGCTTGAATGGATGCTAACAATGGTATCCCAAGCTACTGTTGCTGCTGCTTCAGCTAGTGGTGGTGGTGTTGACTTACGATAATTTAAACAATCCTACCCAAAGGCACGCACAATTGAGTTGGATTGGAGGGTGGTGCTGGCTAAATTACATTCGTAATCCAGGCGGATTAGGAGTTTCTCCCCCTGAATTATAATTACATTTCACTAGTTTGAGCAGCACACAGGAGGAGGGAGGGGAAGGTGGGGAGAATACAGGCCTTGCGCGCATTCATTCATTTACAAAAGTCCTCTCCACTTTAGCATCATGCGGAAAGTTCATAAAGGGTAAAAATTTTTTGAAAAGATTCTGCATTGTCATTTTTGTGTTTGGTGACATTATCAGGGTATTTAGCGAGCCTAAAGTTTTTGCCCTTCGTAAAATCGACCAACTTGTTCAGATGACGTCGATTTAGCCCTAGTCAAGTGCAAGTAGCACGGATTGACTGTGGTATTACGTAAATGTGTTCTTCAACTGCTTCTCTTTAGTTGTGTTTCATTATCCTGTTTCAATTGCCTTTCTTCATTACCAATCTAATTATTTCTTTACTGTGAACCTGTTGCCGCTAATTCCCTTGACAGCTAACTTCTCTCCCTTCCAGTGCATCTGGTTCTCCTCAAGTAGTGAAGGTGTCCAGGAGATATGTACGTCATTATCGAAGGGCTGGCCGGGATGGGCTTTAGGTTTTTGCCAAATTACGCCAGTACGATCATCTTACATCACAGTTTTGCCAAGAGTATATAAAGGCTTGCTAAGGGGGAAAAACTTAGCGTGTCTCAGACCATTAGAGTGGTTAAAATTAACCCTGCCCATCAGCCACGTTGCATCGTGGAGGTACTTCAAGCAGTTGTGACTGTTTGATTAGTCACTACGACTGACAACTGTTAGCATCAATACAGTTCGCCTACTGCCACCGAGGTGATGGTAAGCGTCTGTGATACCAACCTAATTGTGCGTACAACAGAACGAAACGATGATCATGAGTGTCATATCACCGCTGGCTGCCAACTCAAACATAATTGGAGTTTAGACCTCTAAATGGGACGTGCAATGGTTGAGGAACGCAGAACCGCTCTTAAAATTCCATTGCATGCGATATTGAGACCCCAATTCCTAACAGGCCTGTGCCAAAGCTTTGAGGTGTTAGTACAAACCAACAAGATGGATGAAATTTCCCTTTTCAGGATCATTTG